CGCTTCGCCGCAAAATTGTCTAACACATTTTGTTAAGTGTTGTTGTAGAATTTTATTAGGCTATTCACCCCCCCCTCTAGACATTAGGACCTTTCAGCAGGACATCCATACTCGAATGCCTCCCACCAGTCTTGAGCTTCTCCCTGGAGTTGTCCTGACGCGTACAACACCTTCTGCTGGTCATCGCACTGTGCTATATTGAGTTGCTTTTCTACTGCACGAAGCCAATCATCTACTTCTAGTGGATCAGTGGCATGAGAAAACACCGGGGGACGGCCCTTCAAGAATTCACCACGCTTGTCACGCGGTGCTCCACCAATTGGTTGATTCTGCTGATTTTGCACCAAAGCTTGCATAAGCTATGTCTGCACTGCCAGAAGTTGCTCAATAGTTGGTGGCGGTGGTGGTGGTGGATGTGGGGGAACACCTCCATGACCTCGGCCTCTTCCTCTTTCAGACATATGAATCCAACAAAATATTCAAAATTTAGAGATTTCCAAGTTATATGCGCTTATAGAGATATAGAATACATTCTAAAAAATTTCTGGACGAGTTCCAACATTAGTAGCTTGGTAAAACAGTCATATCTCAAGTTCTAGATATCCAAAAGAGACGTTCTTTACATGGTTGGAAATCTTAAGAAATTATCTACAACTTTTATTCAAACCACATGCACAGATTTTGTCATTAGATTACTCAAAAACAGGATACAACCGAAACTGTCCTAGATTCCCAACTATGCAGAAACTTCAACTTAAAATAGTTATATCTCTCAAACCAGATTAGGTATAGGGGTGATTCCAGAGGCATTAGAAACATACTTAAGTCTAGTTGGTCCCATAGAAATTTCATAATTTTTGGTAGAGTAGATTTATATTGGCATTGAGATAATGGTAGACTGCTCTGAAAAGCAGATCCGAGAGAACAAGATGTACCCAACCCAACTATTTATTCATTGACTCAAACTTTAATATTCTTAACTATGGAACTTACGAACATGCCCATAAAGTTCCAGCACTCATTACAAAAATCCAATTCACACAAACATAATAATAAATCAACTAGGCACACCAAAGTTCACACCACACTACTAGACTCGACTTGACTCAACTTGACCCGTGCTACTAACGTCTTATTACATAGAAAGGAACTCCAACACCTATGGGCGAAATTCATGGGGAAGCTCCTCATATATCCTTGGTTGGTTGAGGCACACCCTTTGCTCGTCTATCACTTATCGGTATCTCTTAAGGGTCGTCTCCTGTGTCTTCAACTGATCTTCCCGCCATCGATTCTTGTCTACTAATTCACAGGCATAGTGCACAATCACTTGAGTAGTGGGTTTCGTGCCTTCAGGGTCCATTATTGCCCATTCCAAGTCAGGGTGTTGGCGAGGGAGGAAGCGATATTGATCTTCCTTCATATCATCAAAGCGACGACCATGGAGACCCATGCAGGCTACAGCGGCTGCATCTTCTATGCTATCTTCCATGGTGGCACAGTGAGCGCGATGCGCATAGTTCGAGTGCAGCTTGTATGCTTCCTTCTGTTCATCCTAGATGGAGATGCACACTTTGGTCTTCCAATAAGTGTCCTCCAGAGGGTGCGTATGCTCGTTGCAGACGTACTTCACAGCTGCGTCCCAATCACCGTAGTAGGTCTGAAGAATCCCAATAAGTCGGTGGTGCGAGATGGAGGATTCACACCCCCAGCTTGTACCAAACCTTTGTAGTCCATCCTAGGGGAGGGATCGGCTCATCATCATCATACATTACAATGACCTCTACTTCTTTGGGTTCTTCTTCTTCAGGCTCTTCCTAGAATGGCTCAGGCATAGGTGCAGGTGCCCACGAATCAACTTCTTGCTCCTAGGGTTCCTCCTTCTCATGTGGCTCTATGGACTCATACAAGCCACGAGGCGGGTAGTAGCCTCCGGTGCTGATGCGAGCGGTCTTATTAGCACGAGGCATCTATAGAATTAGATTTAGTCAGATTAGAAGCAATACTTTTCATAACAGAGTGAGGCAAAAAGAAGCACAAAACTTTAGCAAATAATAAGGGTGAGATGGGAAGCATGAAATGAGTGAAGCAAAAGAAACTAAAACGACCATTGCTAACTAGGCTTATGTCCTACAGTCAACACGGCTCTGATACCAATCTGTCACACCCGATTTTAAGGATAAAATGGGATGCATAATCTTATGTACGCCCAGAGATCAGTCACACACATAAGCCCACAAATTATAAATAGTATCATTACAAGTGTTTATTACAGCATGAATAACAAGACATAGTCTTCACATAAATGTAGCGGAAGTATAAAGAAAAATATCTCGCGAAAACTCCATATCACAGGAACGTTAACTGGTTGACCACAAGCCTAGTAATCCTCTGGAAAGTCATCATTACCGTAGCCATCTGTTACCTATCCGAGATTTTTATCCAAATAATGAAAATAAATAAGCGTAAGTACGTGTCATACTCAACAAGTGTAACATGGGGTTTATGAGGCTCAAAAGGCTTGACACAGGTTTAACAACATTTAGCTTTTAGTTATCACCATTTTAGTATAAGAGTAGCAACAAGTTGTTTCAATCCCAAAGTAAAACACATGATCAAAGTAAACATGAGTAACGAATAGCATAAACAGATAATTCTTAGTGATCATCTATTCCATAAGGGTCCAAGGCCTCTCATGACCGTGAGCACGGCTGATATACCAGTTTTACACTCTGCAGAAGTTGTACACTTTCACTATGAGTCGTGATACCCATATGCCCGGATTAATTACTTCCAAAACACTTCCAACGTGAGCAAGCGGGGGTCACTATAAAGCCTTTCAAAGGCTCGTCTAACATGTTAGGGCTATTAGATTCACTCGACAAACAGATGTAGGAACCCCCATGTCGAGTGTCACAATTCCATCACAGCTATACACATAAGAGTAGAGGCTGTCCTATACCCGATTCGTCAAGCCATTCTTACGCCAATAAAGATAATCGCTAACAAGCTAGAAGAGGTCCTCATACTGAGCTAAAGCCAGAGCCATATAGCCCTTATAGTTGTACTGTAAGTCCTGGATGTTCGCTTATAAATAAGTCCTTAGGGAGAGGTATCTAGAGCATTTAGAAAGTAGCTAAACACTCTAGCCCCTGTTTCAAAGTTGCTAAAAAGTCATATTTTAATGTTTACTGCATATACCATTAGTCAAGTTACAAGATCATGGTTTAATTGAGCACTAGCAAAGCTACCCAATGCATATCCCATAGGAAACAAGGTATAATTTCAATTCTATGAAATCCCTATCAAGGTGACACATGCAACATGATTTAAATGTACTGAAATTGATTGGAAACAAGGATAATCCCATGCTATACTTGCCTTGAACAAAGTGCTCCTGCTGACCCTGCTTGTCAAAATAGTACTCTTGTTCATCCACGAATTGCTCACCGTCTATACTCGATAATCACAGTAACATACAAGCATCCAGAATGCATAGCAAACAAAAGCTATAGATTAGAACAGTACACCAACAACATAAAATCAAGATGAAAAGTTTGTAAAACGAATCAACGTCTCGCTATGAACACACAGACGCGAAGATCACAAAAATCAGAGTTAAAACAAAGAAGTTATGAATTAAACAAGATTTACTTTAGTAAAATAATATATTAAATTTAACCTCAAATTTTAAAGTTGAAAACATACTTAACAATAGTATAAACATGTAGATTACTTAATTACGAACCTAACGCAACTTGAATGGATCAAATCGGAGTTAAAACGAAGATTATATGACCTACAGAAGGTCGTGGCAGTTTTGTGAATAGATGAAACTTAATTTTTCGAATTTAAATAAATAAAATTAGATTTTAAACTGAGCCAAGGACTGCGGGCATGAAAACGAAGAAACACAGGGGCTCTTTAGAATAAATACAAGGACGGCGGGTTAAGATCCAAATAATTATAAGGGCCTTTTTGCAAAACGACAGGCGAAGGGGTATCTTAAGATCTGGACCGTTGGATCAGAATCGGACGGCGCAGATCAGATCAGAGGGGAGGGGAAATGGCCAGCGAGGACGGCGGCGTGCTCCACGGCGGCGCCATGGCCGGAGACGAGTGGCGCGTATGAAACATGGCCTACGGACCACGGAACAGCAAACCAAGGGTACCGGGAGAAAGATGAGATGACGGCGAGCTCGGCTAGGTAACTTACCAAGGTGCGGAGCGGATGGAAGCGGCGTGCGGCTTTGACGGATTGAGCTCGGCGGCGGCGGCGGCTAGGGTTAGCGTGGCTGGGCGCAATGCGAGAGCACGGGCAGCTTCCGAGCGGCTAGATGGAGGCGGCGGGTGTAGGGGTCACTATTTATGGGCGGGGCTAGCTTGCGGGTCACACCAGGCGTGGCGTAGCGTAGGCGTAGTCGAGCTCGGTGTTCGGCTCGGCCACGAGCGGAGGAAGGAGACGCGCCTGACGAGCGGGCCCGGGCTGTCAGCGGGATAGGAGGCGCGGGCGACACGGCGGGGAACTGGGCCGCCTGTTGGGCCGCTGCGGAAGAGAGCGGATGCCGCGCGGCTAAGCGAGAAGAGAGGAAGCTGGGCCAGGAGCAGCAGGCCCATGCGGGGGGGCGGAAGAAAAATTCCTTTCTCTTTTTATTTTCTAATTTTCCAAACCAATTTTGAAATACAAATTCAAATCAATTTAAAATTTGATTTCAGACCACACGATTCAAAAATAATATGCAGCAGCACGAATGCATAGACATGTATGTAAACCTATATTTGATTTTAATTTTAACAAAGTTATTATTTTTGTAAATTTCAATGCTCACAAAATACATAATTAAATCATTTTCTCCTATTTTAAAACCATACAAATTTTAGGGTGTTACAGAAATATGAGATATAGATAAGCAAACCCAACCTGCTTAACATAGATAACAGTTGGAGCCACTAGAGCTTCACCAACAGTAGTTGTTATGCCATCGTTTCTTGGGAGCTGGTCACTCAAGGAAAGTCCACTTTTCTTCAATACTCTAGAAAATTAAGGATTTTCAGCCATCGTTAACAAGATGCATATAATGTTCAACAATAGGAAGAGATAAAAAAAAATATATAGATAAATTTACTATTACAGATTTGATACAAGTGGAATTCAAGGTGTAATACCTTCTAACAAGAGAGAATCCGTTAGAATGAACCCCGCTGGAAGGAAGACCTATAAGGACATCTCCCTTAACAATGTTATTTCCATCAATGACTTTATCCTTTTCCACAATACCCAAAGCAAAACCACATAGATCATATTCACCCTCTGCATAGAAACCAGGCATTTCTGCTGTCTGTAATGATCAATTATTCAGTAATCAGTTTGATTGTTTTTGGCTTTTCATAAAATTAATGCATATGTGTAATGCTTTAATGTGGATTCATTTAAATTTGTATGGAATTATCTCCTACAACAAAAAAGAACAAAGCGTAGACACTTTTTGGTGTGACATTCTAATGTGGTCCATCGTCCTACCTCCCCGTGCGATCCCACAAGTACCCGACGGGCCGAAGCGTGCGATCCCGCCCGGCACTTCCCCACCCTTCCCCTAAAATGCCACTCCATGCGGACCAAGGCCATCACACCTCATCGTATGCCACCGTGCAATAGATGTAAACTGAGCCATTGAACGCCACCAGGAAAATGGAAGGAATTGATTCACGCCCCCATGGCTACGGCACCCCCGTGGGCGGCGCGCCGGCGAGAGCGGTCCTCGACAGTCCTCCTCCCTCACCCCCACGCGGGCGTAGCCACGGTTCGATCCCAGCGCCATGGAGCCACCGCCGCCGCTGGTGGGAGGGGCCGCCGCCACCATGGGAGTCGGCCATCTCGAGGCCTCCCCAACGCCTTGTAGGTCCAGCGGTGCTCCCTCCTCAACCTGGGATCCAACAGCTCTCCCTCCCCATCGCCCTGGGATCCGGTGGCACCCCCTCCCCATTGCCCTGTTGATCTGATGGCGCCGCCTCCCCATCCCCATCGTCAGCTGCGCCCCGTCCTTTGGTGCTAGATTTGCGGGGTCCAACGCCGCGGTCGCTCACGTATCGCCTTTCTCGAGGCTTTTCTCGTCAGCCTCGGCGGCCGTGGCCATCGCGCCCCACGACGCATGCAACTCGGGCCTTGGCGGCTTGGCGTACTGGGCTTGGATTCGCGCGGGGACCGAGTCGGCCCCGACGCCCGCGCCGCCACAGGAGGAGGAGGACGAGGGCCCGGCACGCTACATCCCCATCAAGGCCTACTTCCTCTCCACCAGGTAAGCACGCAGCGCCGCTCCAGCGCTTGCTCGATAGGTGTTTGATGATTTATCAGCGTGGAAACATTCGGTCCTAGCATGCAAGCGGAGCACGGGAATGATATTGTACCTCCAGCGACCTGTTTGCTTATCTACATTGCGCTTCGGTACTATGAGTTCCCACCCGAGATTATTTTCTAGTATGGTTCTGCTGTGCTTTTTAGCATTGCTGATCATGAAGCTGAGTAGTATCTTGATATAATAATTAGGAAGCATGCTTCAGGATGGCTTCCAGAGACGAGAAAAGATGGTATGCCCAGTTTGCTCACTGCTAAACTGTGTCTGTTTACTGCTTTTTACTTGCCTCCATTTTTGTGTTCCTTGATAACATTTGCATGGACAGAAAACAGTATAATTGCCTTCTTTTATATTCAAGATCCTATTTGGTAACTGTGATAGAACTCAACTTAAAGAGAATCATCGCATGCCTAGGCTGTGCGTTGTGTGCATTTTTGTTTAGTAGAAATAAGTTCCCACTGCTTTTTGGTCACTGTGATGCTGTGGCATATGCCCCTTGGAATTTCGCTGTTTGACTCTTTGTAAAGATGCAGTGCCATCTATTTTGCATGAACAGATTATGCAGTGGTTGAGAAACCATCCTTGACAACATGGATGAAAGGAGGTCTTGATTATATAGTTCTTAAAAGTTTGGACACGGATGGGATTTGCATAATTTAAAGCGTTCTTGGTCAAAGTATCGCCCTTGATCATTATATTCGATAGGTACTAAAATTCTGCGAAGTTAATAAACTTATGTGTTGTGACAGTATCATCAAAGCTTTGTCTAGAAGTTCTAAACTCCAAAATACTAATTTGATAGGTTGATGATATGGTTGAGGAATTCACTGAAATTAATCGTGTCGTCGAAAAAACCGGCAACTTCACCATGCAAAGAAAAAAACTCTTTCAACTTGTGGGGAAGGCTAATTCGAATCTTGTGGATGTTATCATCAAACTTGGTCTTTTTGACAGGTATGTCTACGACACTCAATTACTGTACTTCCTATTTAGGATGGTTCCATCTCTCATACAACATATATGAAGTTAAATATTTGTTATGGATCAAATAATGTGTGAATCCCATGTGAACGATTGTGAAGGTGTGTAATTCAAGTTGCTAGACATTGCAGGTCTATAAGCCACTGTTAGCATACATTTGATATTCCCTTTTGGAAAAGAATGGTTCACTTGGGGTTTATGCTCTTTGTTTGGAATTTCTTCCGGTGCTTTGAATAAATATTGATGATTTTGATCGTTGTACTAAGAAATTGGACATTACTATCTCACAGTACTCATTATTTTTAAAAGTATTGTGCTTGCTATCCGTGGATTATATCATATTCTTGTTGGCTCTATTGCATGCACCCCTTGTTTCTGTCTTGACTCACTTGTTGCTTTTATAGTGCAATTTTGCTTCTGGATCCCTGTTTTTCCCCTCTGTTTTTTGCTTCTGGATACATCCGCCTTCTGTCATTTGACCATGATTTTTTTTCTGTATTTATGTGTCTTTTATGAAGATTACCTTTTATCATTTAGAGATTCTCTGGCATACTTTTTACAATCACCAACCAGTTTATTTACTTCAGAAGTTGATCTTGTTGTGCTTCACATGCAAATTGTGTCCTATCCAGGTTATGTAGTTCTCCTTTCGTGCATTGTGTTGGTTGGTCTATTTGCCTTGCAAACACCAGGGTACTAAGAACTGCATTCATGTTTGCACCAATTGTAATCATCTGGCTGCTTTCCATTGGAGGAATTGGTTTATACAACATTCTTCATTGGAACCCAAATATATATCAAGCTCTGTCTCCATATTATATGGTTAAGTTCTTTAAAAAGACAGGTAAAGATGGATGAATTGCTTTAGGAGGGATCCTTCTTTCTATGACAGTGGAGTGATGTATCATGTTTACCTTTCCCTTCCTGTTTTTTTTATAACCTGTTTGCCATTTAGGATTTAATCACCAAGTCTACTTTCCACTTTTCAGGCAGTGAAGCAATGTTTGCTGACCTTGGTCATTTTACGAGTGCATCCATCAGATGTACAATTAGATCCACAAGATATTTGGAACAAGATATGTCCATGCTAATATCCTTTACTACTTTATAGAAAGAGATTTTACTGTAATTGTAATAAAATTAACCATGGGCCATGGAGATGGATGAGCCTGCATTTTAGGAAGACCATATCAGCTAACTGAACTTAAGCGGTTATGGACTGTTAAATGGGCACAATAAAATTCTTCAATTTGCTTGCTAGCTCTACAAATGAACAAGTAATATTAGTTCATTTTCTTTATTTTGCCACAGCTCAACCAGATTTACGTGCTATCAGATTTCATAAGCATTGTAGAATGCATGTGTGTGTTCAGTATGATAGACTTCACTAATCTGGATTTGAATATACAATTATAGCCTTGACAGTTCTGAAGCACAAAGGGATGTACTTGAGACCCATAACAGGTACAATCTTCAACATGTGTATTTTATCTCTTTATCATACATCTGTTCTTCCTATCTGAATGACTGAGCGAAGTTCCTGTTAGGTGAAGAATCTGGTTGTGTTAGTCCTATTGAATATAAAGAAGTTCCTGAGAATCCTAGCATGGAAGAGAGGAAGGAAATCCATGTCTCACTACAGAGCAAGAAGTGTAGGACCACCGTCGCTACCGGCGCGGTCCTAACCCATGCGTGAGGCTAGGGTGTCGACGCTGCGGCAGCCCGCAGCTAGGCAAGGTGTGGCCTACGCAGCGGGCGGAGAAGGCGGCGTGCGGCCCGCATGGTTGAGGCGCGGCAGCTGGCGGCGCTAGCTGATGTGCCACGGAGGTGACGGAGACGGCGACACGCGCGTGGCGGAGCTGACCCGCAACGCAATGACATGAGGCAATGCGAACGCCAATAGCCCCCATGTCGTGTGGAAAGGTCTATACAGTTTGTGAGTCTGCGACGCCGTGCTGTGCGTGACTGTTAATTTTACGAACTTGGCTTTTTGGATTAACGTGCGTATTTAATTTTACAGTATTGTTATCTTATCGTGTGATCCGTGTGTTTTTAGTACAAAAATTTAGTTATCCCGTAGCAACGCACGGGCACACTAGTACAAGTATAAAAAGCAAAAAAAAAAATGTTACACTGATATTATTAATCATGTAGCAAGCACAAACATTAAAAATTCTGCTTCTTAGTAAAGCGAGTTATCCCAAAGAATCCAGATAAATAATCGAGTGAACAATTACAAGATAATAATATGCAGCAATCAAAGACAGTCTGGCAGTGCAAGACATTTGATCCATTCATATACAGCTACTGTGACTTATGACAATAATACTGCAGGGTTGAATTGCTAAGTCATGGTAATTTAATCAAGAAAATCTTACCTCCCCTCCTAGGAGAGCAAAACCTGATAGCTTTTTTTTGCTTTTTGTATTCAGGACAACCTGATTGTTGGCACCCAACCTTAATCCCCTTGATAACCTAAATAATTTGTAAAGTGCTTATAGGCATACAGCCTATTCGGCTGGTGCTGATACGATCGTAGATTATTACTGTTGGCTGGTTTGTTGCGAGAGAAAAATATTATTCTTGCTTATAATCCACGATCGTTTACGACCGAGCGAACAGGCTGATAATCGAAATGTTCCATGAGCCAAAGACCAAGAAAATAAGTATGAGAAGGACAAAAATTACTTTAATAAAGTTTCAGTCAGTACCTTCTCTGCAACATCAACATCAAGCTTACTCGTTGCATAGTAATCTAGGAAGAACAGCGGTCTTGCACCTGAAGTTATGATGTCATTGACGCACATTGCCACCTGTCATAATGACCTAAATCCATTCAGTCAACTTGCAACAGAGATAAGGAAAACAGCGTGCATCGAAGCTAATCTCTCATACCAGGTCAATGCCAACTGTATCATGAATACCAGTTTCGAAAGCAAGCTTCAGCTTTGTCCCCACTCCGTCAGCGCTAGCAGCAAGGTAGTCGTCCCCTGTTCAGAATTTCAGATAAAGGAACATGAAAGCAAAATTTCAGAAAGTGAGCGCAAGGAAGGATCATCGAGTAAGCAGCAGCAAATGAACCATCCAACTACATGTTTGTTTCAACACAACCAAAAAAACATCCAACTTCATGTTGCATTGCACACATCTACAATTGTCGCACTGACATATCTTGAGCAAACAACAAGTACATTAAATTTGCACCTTTCACCAGCTAAAACTGAGAATTAACTTACACCTATGCACCCAACAAGGTGTTCATCATCACCACAACCGTTCTTCAGTCTTCACCCAACATATTTTTGCCTACTCCCTACTCGAGTTGCAATTGCAAATTGTGCCACATGTAGAAAGTAAGAACCCTCAGAAAAAGGCTGCTTCTTCTTTTACCCCCAAAAAGGTGGATAATTAAGTTACTGAAGTTGAAGTGATGCCATGCCAGTGCATTACCCAAAGCGAAGAGACCGCTGAAGCCGCCAATCCCGGGTGTCATCCTGGCGATGCGGCGCACAAACTCGTTGCTGGCGTCGACGTTCACACCGGCATCCTTGTACATCGGTCTCCCCTCCCCGCCAGAGCTGCTGCTGGTGCTCGAGCTGCGGCAGGACACGGACGCGCGCCGCGTCCCCGCAGGAGCCTGCCTGAAGTGGAGGCGATGCGTCTGTGGAAGACCCCGGCGAGCCGCGCGGGCGGGGGCAGCGGCGGCCGGAGAGCCTGTTGGCCCGCGGAGGAAGTGGAGGACACGATCGGCGGCGGCCATGGGTATGGGAGGGGATGGGCGTCGGGAAGAGCTTTGCTGGAGGCGACGGGCGGCGGCCAAGAGCGCGGCTCTAGGCAGCCGAGCGAGCTGCGATGGACGGCGGCGGCGTGGCGCCCCTGCCCTAATCGGCCAGGTGGCAAGTGCGACACGTGTGGGTTTAGCGTCGGCCCGTTTAGAGTCGGCCGGATTAGTAAGGTTTATAGCAGTCAAAAAATATTTATATTAGCCCCCTGCTGTACAGTTTTTTTTATGCTAATATAAGGACCTGTTTATCCAACCTGCTAAAAATTAGCACTATGTCTAGATGATAATTAGAAGGACCAAGCCGCACTAATTTTAAAACTATTTTCATAAACAGTGAATAATTCGTGAGACGAAACTTTTATTCATAATTAGGCCAAGATTAGCTTGTATGGTGCTACAATAAACATGGCTAATCAAGGGCTTCGAGGAAGAAATTTTATTTCACGATAGCTCAAGAAGCTTCAACGAAGGATGTGGAGAGAGCATTTGGTACATAATGATAGCTGTGATGATCATGCACAACATGGTTATTAAGGATTAGCGGGATGAGAACAATGAGGGAGCTAGGCCTATAACTACGGATGACTCAGGCTTCTAAGCTTATCTAGTCGATATCGGTCCCGTTCGCTGGTCTGAAATTTGGCTGAAACTGGCTGAAAACACTGTTCCGGCTGAATTATTGTGAAAGAAAAACACTGATGTGGCTAAAAAAAGAAGCCGAACAAACCAAATACGGGGTAAGCCGATCTTTCAAGTAGTCAATGCACGAATGCACCTCGACTAGTTTGGTCTCTCTCTTCGCAAGCTCGGTCCATTCTATTTTAGTCGAGCTTATCTTTTAGTTCCCGAAACACGTAGGGCCTAGTATATACCGATAAAAGTGTGAAATAGATTTTGTTGTAAGTTTTTGTTACCAGAAATCGCTTTCATGTTTACCAAAAAAAAAAGAAAATCGCTTTCATATATCACTTGAGACTAGAGGTGGCAACATCGATATTGCTCTACCAACAACAGGGGTGTCAAAGGAAGTTCCCCTTCCATCACACGCCACGCAACGGCACGCGTTCTCTCTGGCTGGAGTCCCCCAAGTCCTCGTCTCACCACGCCGCCTCGAGATCCGTGACACCGCCACGTCTTGTCCTGTCACAGAAGAGGAGACAGGGGCCTCACCTGACAAACACTTCGCTCACACGCAAATCCTCCACCCCACTCCACCACCTCCCGGCTCCCGGCTCCCAAGTCTCCCCTCCGTCACCGCTCCAGCTCCGGGAGACCGGGACAACGATATGGAGGGAGGGCTCGAGGCCGACCTGTCGCAGGGGGCCGTGCCGGCGCTGTGGAGTGTGCCACAGGCCGCGCTGGGGCGGCGGGGGTTGCACCTCGTGCTGCAAGTGGCGGACGTGAGGCATGCGCTCGACGGTAGCGGCACCGGCCTCCGCCCCTCGCTGGCGTGGACCCCGTGGTACCAGCGGTACCGCCTCCTGCTCTCCAATGGCGGCTGCGGCTCCTGACGAACCGCGTCCAGGTAGGGGGTCGTGGAGGTGATCTGCACCTCTTCCGCATCGGAATCGTCGAGGAGGTCGTCGTCCGCCCAACGACGGGCCTTGGAGCGTCCCGCCACGCTACCCCAGGATGGAAGGGGCAGCTTGGGGGGATAGGGTGGACGGTGGGCTCAGAGCGGGAGCAGACGCGTCGAGGTTGGAGGCAGTGGACGACGACGCTACCATGGAGCCACGCCCGGAGGCCGCCTCTAGGCAGAGCGCCGCTGCCTCGGCCCCTACGGCACGGGGCCCTGCACCCACCGGCTGGGCGAGCGCAGCAGCAGGCCCGGGCGCGCGCCTGGCTGTGCGGGGCAGCCTTTGCCGCAGCCTGGCCACGAGCTGGTGACGTGGGTGGCGGTGGCTGTGCATCTGGCGCGCCAACACCGGCGACCACGGTGCCCAGCTGAAGCGACACGACGGCAGCAACGACGAGCTCGGACCGGGGCCGGCCATGGCAGCCAGCTGCTTGGGACCGACTTCCGTCGGCACCTTCTCCTCCGGCGACGTCATTGGCCATGGCGGCAGCAGTGGCTGCTGCCGCGCGGCGGCCTCTCCATCGCTGCCGGCCATGGATCCGGCCGCCCGGGGCCCATTTGCACGGGAATGGGCCGCCTCCTCGGTCTACGGCGGCGGTAGTGCCCCATCACCGGCTTCCGCGAGTTGGGAGGGCGCGGTGGTGGCAGTGGCGGCTCTAGGCCCCAGCTGCGGAGGAGGGGGAGCGCGCAGGGGGAAGGAGGGGAGGGAGGGGTGGAGACGGCCTTCGTGGCCGCGGCCGGGACGGCCCGCGCCGGCACCGGCGCTGTCGAGGATGGGGAGCATGGCGTGGAAATGGTGGCTCCCGGCGGTGGGGGAGGAGGGGGTGGGGATGAGAGGGGGAGGGGGAGGCGGGCACCGGCGGCGACGCCGGGAAGGCCGCCGGTGCCGGGTGCGGCGGTGAGGGTGGCGGTGCCGCCAGCTAGGGTTGGGGCTTTTTTTTTGTACTAGATCGTCTTGCTATGCTTCATAGGTTCAATTCCAGGGTCCTCTGTTCCACTTTCACCCCTGTTTTTGCCTTTTTGGCGGTGACTGCTGCCATTTGCGTTGACTGCACTGAAAAAAAAAACTAATAAAACCATTGTGGATTAGTTCCGCGTTTTGGATATCCACCGTGAACTGAAAGCTTCACCCGTCACGGCGTATTTGATGACAACTTGGCAGATCTATATAGCGTCCTTATGAGTTACTCTACCAAACAGTCTGTAGCTCCGATTTGCTCCTTCCATAATTTGTTACAAGGTTCAACTATGCATATATGTGCAATGTGTGTGTGTGTTTTTTTTTACATTTACTAGGTTCAACTTGCAGAAAATATAAAAAAAATTATATCCCCTTCCACATGAATAATCTGCTTCATTCCCATAATTTCCATGTCCTTGACAGATGACAGGCAATGCCAGTTTGTAACTGCCCCAAGATGGTTCATGGGCACAATACATGTAAAGTCAATGTCCTAGTGTAGTTAAACATGGCTGTAAGCTTATGTATTTTCTTACCACAATTACCATGATCCAAAGAACCACAGTTACCATGATCCAAAGAAATGCAAAGTCTGACATGCCAATTGTCAATTGATGGTGACTGGTGATTTACAAACTAGTTAGTTTATTTGCATCATTATTATCACTTCATGCCAGCATTGACGCTTTTTTGCTCCGCACCAAGGCACACAGTGCCTTGCAGATTGTTTTAGTCCGTGTTCGGCTGGCTGGCTGGCTGATTGCCGGCTGGCCAGCCACCTCACAAAATCACTATTCACGTCCTGCCGGAATAGTATTTTCTTCTCACAACAATCAGCCGAAACAGTATTTTTCAGTCCTGCCGAACAGGCCCTTAAATCGAGAATTCTCCCCCATTCCTGTAAAGTTCTAGCAGGATGCATGTCAAATACATGCGTTACAAACAGACCCGTAGGTTTTGATTCGAGTCTTTTCAGGAGCTGCAATTTTCTGTTATTGTTAATTGAATTGCAGCATCTGTACTAAATGTGTAGCTTAGTTTCTATCGCAGAGTATATAGAAGCACAGGTGCTCTACGGTTCCTTACAAAAAAATTATACCAACATTTAGTCCCCTTATGGATTTCAACAGTTACTGTACTATTCTAGCACTTGGCTTACATTGATGTCCCTCTATTCTTTTAATATATTAATACAACTTGAGTAGTCAGCTAAATGTCGGCATTGTTCCCGAGCCGAGCAGCTCAGCATGGTGGCATCTGAAGGAGTGGCACTGTTGGGGCATCCTAAATCTTACTTCAGCTCATTCAGTTGAGAAAAATGTGCCCCTTCCTTGAATATGTCTTGCAATAACCTAATGGCGTTTATCTACAGTGTCTACATTTACTAGTGGCTCACTGCTTGGAAGTTATGTTGATCATTCCTGTCTCCCTATTATATCTTGTATTTTCTTTTTCAGGACCATGGTCATCATCCGGTTAAAAATACTGCAAACAGATCGCTGGTCTGAAACTTGGCTGAAACTGGTTGAAAAACACTGTTCTGGCTGAAATATTGTGAGAGAAAAACACTGTTCCGGCTGAAAAAAAAAGTCAAACAAACCAAATTTCAGACCAGCCGAACAAGCCGTAGAGTGGGCACTGATGGGGAGTCTCATGCTCTACAAGCCGCCAAGGAACTCTGGGGTGTTCAGCACTAGTAGATCAATGAGTTATGGTCTTAGGTCTGATGGTGTACCTTGTTTTGGAGTCCCAACCCCAACACATTCGATATGGACTTTGACAGGCTATCTTCTGTTGCTCTATCGGAAAAAAAACACCTGTCTGGAAACTGCTTGGACAGATAAAGGATGAAAACTTAGGGTACTCAAATAAGCCAGACCTCATCACTGTCAAGGCTACTATCTCATCTGTAAATCCCGTGCTCTTATACTATGTTGCCTGCCCGCTAGTGGTCAATGGTAAGCAATGCAATGCTAAGGCAACTAGAGTTGACGGGATGTGGCGCTGTAACCATGTGTTTCGTTTGCGGGTTCAACTGGGATATCCCGGGTTCGTCCCAGATGATCTGTTGTTTGGTTCTAGAATCAGTGGGTTGGGTTCATCCCGCACAAGGTATATTCTCTCTAGATGCGGGTTTGTTGGGTACCTCCAAATCGGAGAAATCATCTCGACCCAGATGGACGTCGTTGCATCTCCGTTGGCGAGCGCAGACGCGGATTGCTCGGATGCTTCTCCATCGCCGGCATGGGCGACCTCCGGCGCCCAGCAATGTCCGGATGCTTCGGCCATGGCGCAGCTCCGTGCGACCTCCGGCTCCCGGCCCCCGCCCTCCGACGCGGGACGAGCCCCTGGCCCTTAGCCCTCGACGGACGTTGCATCGACCTGCATCGACGGACGTTGCGTCCGTCCGTTGCACGCGCGCGTCCGTGCGCGGGAGGA